TATTCTCAAAGGACTGAATACATTTGTGAAGCCATTTGGACTGGTACGCGAATAGAAAATGTTCAGAGGGATACGGGTCAAACTTCTGATTCTGTTCCCAAGTGCCTTTTTTCTCATTAAGTGCACCACCAATACCCCCATGCCACGAACCTTCTCCCCTGACTCAGTTGCTTAAGCAATGTAGTTTGCACATTAGAACAGCTTCAAGCAATTTATGACGATAATTGTTCATCTGCCATCTTGCAGAACAAATGATCTGATGTCTTAGACCATAAGTAATAGAAACAAGAGTAGGCTGTTCTGCCCCTCAGTCCTACACCACCATTCAATTGCATCATGGCTACTCTGACATTCCTCCCATGCATGCTATTGTGTTTTCCCTGTAACCCACTCTTCTCCATTACTGATCAAAGTCTATTTCTCTTCTGCCTTAAATATACACACAGACTGTACCCCACAGTTTTTTGTGGCGTTGAGTTCCAAAAATACTCAACTTCCTGAGAGAAGAAATTCCCCATCTTAGTATTATGATGCCTCCACAGCTTCTGCAATCTGGCATCATTCTTGCATTGCCCCTAAAAGACTGTCCAATTTGAAAACTTTTATTCCGCCCCAAAGAAGAGAGCAACAAATTACTCAACTCGTTTTGTTTAATTAATGTACAGTTAACTTATGTTCATCAGTGAAGTGATGGAAGGTGTCATCAACAGTGCCGAGCAGGTGCTGCTTGATAACCATAACCCACCCAATTTGGGTTCTACCCAAGGCCACTCAACTCCTGACCTCTTTACAACTTGGTTTAAATATGGACAGAAGAACTGAATTCCCAGAGGTGAGAGTGACAGCCCTTGAAACCAAGATTGCATTCGACTGTGTGTGGCATCAAGGAGACCTAGCAAAACTGGAATCGATGGGCATTAGTGGTAAGAGTCACGCCTGACACATAGGAAGATGGTTGTGGTTGTTGGAGGTCAACTCCAGGACATACCCAGAGGAACTCCAGAGAATATCCTAGGCCCAATCATCTTCAACTGTTTCATCAATGTTCCCTCCGTCATAAGATCAGAAATGGGGACGTTCACTATCTAGATCTTGTTGCATTTGAACGTGGACTGCTTCAGTATCTGAAGAGTCATGAATGGTGAACATTGCACAAAAGCCAGGTTGGGGCTGGCAAGTGGCAAGTAGCATTCGTGCCACACAAATGCATGGCTATGACTATCGCCAATAAGAGACAATCTAAACACTGCTTGATATTCAATGGTGTTATCATTGAATCTCTCCATTGTCAATGTCCTGGGGGTTACCATTTTGAACAGAAATTCAACTAGACTCCCCATATAAGTGCTGGCTACAAGGGCAGGTCAGAGGCGAGGCTAGGAATACTGTGAATAACTCACCACCTGACTCCCTAAAGCCAGTCCATCATCTACAAGGCACAAGTCAGGAGTGTGAAGGAATCCTCCCCACTTGCCTGGATGAGTGCAGCTCCAACAACACTTGAGCTTGACACCATCCAGGGCAAAGCAGCCTGCGTAATGCCACTGCGTCCACTCCCTCCATCACTGAATTTCAGTAGCAGCAATGTTTACTATCTCCAGTATGCACTGCAAAAATTCAGCAAAGATCCTCATACAGCACCTTCCAAACCACAAACACTTCCACCTAGAAGGACAAGGGCAGTAGATGCATCGGAACACCACCACCTATAAACTCCGCTCCAAACCACTCACCATCCTGACTTGGAAATATATTGCTGTTCCTTCACTGTCATTGAGTCAAAAATCTTGAAATTCCCTTTCTAATGACATTGTGGGTCAACCCACAGCAGGAGAACCGCAGCGGTTTAAGAAGGCAGCTCACTACCAAATTCTCGAGGGCAACTAGGGATGGTCAATAAATGCTGGCCAGCCGGTGATGCCCACATCCAACAAATGAGCTTTAAAAGAAGTTGAATTTTTAATCTGATGTGGCAAGGTTCTAACTTTTTGAGTAACTTGCAGGTTCTGCTTGTGATGCACAAATCCCATTGTCAGGTTCCCTCTTGCGTTGCTGTCACGTGAGCCATGTGACTTTTTTTCAGCTTCACCCCCTCCAACTCCCCTCATTTCTGTTGAGCCCTTTATGTAACTATTAATATACCTACTTTTACCCTTTTTTTTTTGTTTTGAGCCAATGAAATTCCCATGCGTTTGGTCCTGTGTCAGAGATTGAAGTTCAAGAGTAATGGTAAACTGTTTGAACCCCCCACCCCCCACCATTCCAGAGCTCCCAGCTACCACAGGTCCCACCCTACTGTCTACAGTTGTCCCCATTGCTGCCACCCTTCCCTCAGCATCCAATATTATGAAACCAAAGCACAAGTTGGCTGCTTTCCCCAGCGCTCCATGCACCATGCCCTTTAACTCCTGTTCACCACACACCAGAAATGACCATGCCAACCACACACCCAAACTGTATCAATTATTGCCCACCCTTCCCTAGATAGATGTTTCAAGAGCACACTGACTCCCCTCCCTGTAAGCTCTACATTGACCTGCAGGACAGACTTTAGTCTGATCCCTAGAATCTGGAGGACCGAGTTCCAGACTGAATAGTGGCCAAACTCCTTGACTGTGTATAGTTCCCATTCACTGCACTAAGGACAGCTTCCCTTCAACTTTCAGGTGTTGCTATTTGCTTGACAAGCGTGCAATGTTTGTGCCACAAGCTGCTGGTTTATGCAGTTGATGTGACAATGATGTAGCATGATGTCACCATGTAGCAGCATCATCCACAGTTTCCCCCCTCTCCCCTCCACCACCACCAGCAGCCCAACCAAAGTTTGATTGTTTCGTGCTCCCCTCTATTGCAAGCTCTTGGCTGTTCCCTCTGTGCTAAGAAAGAAATGCAAACAACACAAGGCTGGCAGCCTGTAAATTGATGTTTTGTTAGTGCCCTCTCTCTTCAGAAATGTGAAGTAAATAGAGGCTAGCTGCCAACAAGTAAGCAGTAAAGTGAATGCTATACAATCCATCTTGTGTAAATCCATGAAGTGTATTTCTGTCCCTATGCACAAATCTACCAAGCAGAAACCTGCAAGTCACAGGTGTCTTTGATCTCCAAGTGCTGTTCTGAAGGGTTGAAGTGATGCATGATGTGGTAAAGCTAGTGTTTTGCTGATGCTGAGTTTTGCGTGGCTCAAGGTCTGCTTTCTTCAGCCTCTCACTCGCTCTTTTTTTTTTATTCTAGTGTCTATTTTGACCTTTACCCTTCACCCTTCACCCAAACTAATTTACTATGGGGACACTGAGAAAAATACTTCTAACTATTCCAGATTTATTTTGCAGTGAGTTTAAGTACGTGATGGAAGATCTGATAGGATTAAATGAGGGGGAATTATCGAATGGAGGTGATGACTAATGTCAGACCAGTTGCATGAAAGGTCTCTTTCTCTAATATTTAATCATAACTTGGCTTGGTTTGATGGTTTTATGATTGCAACTGTTTGTAGTTCTGAACAAGTCCAATTGGAGAGTGAAATCAGACTTAGCTGATCGTGGATTTTTTTTTTCCTCTAGCAACTTCTGCCTCTCCGCATTATGGAGATGAACTCCTGGTATATGTTTCAACATGATTTCAATATGTTTTCCACAAGTTAAACATAACTTCTGTTTTTTGTTAATGCTTTAGAAATGATAAAGAAATTGCCCTGATCACTAATGTATACTCCAGAACAGTACAAATGGTTAGGCTAGTGAGGTCTCCCCATTACCTGTGTAGTTGCAATGAAACCACATCTGAAGTATTATGAGCAGTTTAGGTACCCTTGAGGAAAGATAATTGGATTTGGAGGCAGTTAAGAGAAGGTTCACTTGGATGGTCTCTGGTTGGTAGGTTGGGACTCTACTAAGTGGAGTTTAGAAGAATGAGAGATGATCTCACTAACATATCAGATTCTTAAGATTCTTGACCAAGCAAATGCTGAGAAGATGTTTTCTCTGTCAGGACAGTCTAAGACCAAAGGGCACAGTCTAAGTAAAGCCAATTTAAGACTCAAATGAGGAGGAATTTCTTCTGAGGGTTGACAGCCTTAGGAACTCCTTGCCACAAAGCTGTGGGAGCAGAGTTCTTATGCATATTGAAGGCTAAGACAGATCCCTGTTTAATAGGGGAATTGAGGGCTATGGGGAAAGGCAGGAAAGTGGAAATCAGGTGGGACAGATTGTCTATGATCCTATTGAATGGTAGAGCAAAGAAAATAAATAAACTTGAGCAAAATCATTATAAATATTAATATCTTTGACTAGATTTAAAACTGTTCAGAGTTGTATGGTGTGCTGTTTGATTTGTAACTGGAGCAAAGCTTTTAAATGGAATCCAAATTAAGATGAATGTTTCATTAGCTAGCTGTAAAATTTTGTGTAGAGCATCAACTAGGCCCTCTTGGTGTGCAAGTCAATATTTAAAAATGTGTCCAGCTCAGATGATGCTGAAGTGCCTTCATTTTTTTTTTTCAGGAAAAGTACAAGTTGAGGCAAATTAAAGATGCCATTTGGGGTGGCACATGGTCAGTGGTTAGCACTGCTGCCTCAGCACCAGGGACCTGGGTTCAATTTCAAGCTTGGGCAATGGTCTGTGTGGAGTTTGCACATTTTCCCTGTGTCTGTGAGAGTTTCCTCTGGGTGCTCTGGTTTCCTCCCACAGTCCAAAGATGTGCAGGCTAGGTGGATTGCCCATAGTGTCTAGGGATATGAAGGCTAGGTGGATTGGCATTCAGAAATACAGGGTTACAGGGAAAGGGTAGGCTTGTATGGGATGCTCTTTGTAGGCTAAATGGCCTACTCCCATTTGTGGGGATTTTTTTTTTTTTTTTTTTTTTTTTGTTTGTTCCTTCTCTCTTTTGTTCACGTGCTCTGTCTGTTTTTAGCTATTTTAAGATGTAAACATACTTAACTGATGTTGAGAATCGAATGCATCTTGCCTTGAATATAAAAGTAACCTGACTGTCATTTTTACAGGCTTGATTTGGCAAGAACCATTCTGGATGTTGGGGGTAAGAAAATGTACAACCTGCATGGATTAATGTTGAGGATAAATCTCAATTTCTCGTCCAATACAAGTTTTTATTTTTCTGATTACCCTCTAACTTCTGTCCAGTTTCTTTTTCTAGTCTTGGCTCTCTTCCTGATTTGACTAATGTATTTGGAAGTATCATCCAGAAGTAATCCATAGAATCCCTACTGTGTGGAAACAGACCCTTCGGCCCAACAAGTCCACACTGCCCCCCCCCCCCAGCATCCCACCCGGACCTATCCCCGTATAACCCACCTGATCTACACATCCCTGAACACTACGGGCAATTTAGCATAGCCAATCCACCTAGCCTGCACATCTTTGGACTGTGGGAGGAAACTGGACCACCCATAGGAAACCCACGCAGACACGGAGAATGTGCAAACTCCGCACAGACAGTCGCCTGAGGCTGGAATCGAACCCAGGTCCCTGGCGCTGTGAGGCAGTAATGCTAACCACTGAGCCACCATGCTGCCAAATATCTGAACATTTTCAGGTTTTCCCTGCTTGAATCTCTCTCTCTCCTACCATTGCTGCATCAAAATGCGCCAATTAAAGTCTTAAAAGACATCCACCTCACCTTGCCTCCATTGCTCCTGTTCTTGCTATTTCTTCTAAAGGTGACAATGCCACCGTCCTTCAATTCTGTCCCTTCACTTTTTCTCAATATAGCTGGTTTGGCTTGGTTCAACTCTGGTGTACTGGATAGTAACCACAACATGTGCAACAATTGTTTCTCTCCCTCCCAGATTAATGCAACTGAATTCCCTCAAAGTTTAATTCCTGGGCAACCACCTCTTTTATCTGTTATGTGTTTCAAAATAGCTTTCTCAAATGGACTGAATCCAATTTTTACGTAATAACTCATTAAACATTTGCACTTCTGGTAGATATGCAGTATTAAAGGACATGTTCTAAGCTATCAATAAGCTATGATTCTCCCTGTCACATCAGGTTTCAATTTGGTTCCTTAAAGTCAATCTATTCAGTTTGAACAGCTCAAATCTGTCTCTTGCCAGCAAGACCCACCTTTTTGGCAACATCTTGTAAAATCTTAAGTCCTGCCAAGTTCTCCATCCTTGATTTGAACCAAAACAAATTTGCCAACGTCCTCCTTCTACATCTGTTCTATCTCATGCATGCTGTTCCTAGCTGCTCCTTCTTACTATGGAGATGTGACAGCTGCCTCTTGATTTTTCACCTTGGCTTTTCTGGGCTTGTTTCTGGCACAGGGTTAGTACATGCTCCATCTGCCCTTCCCTCCCTCCACCATACAGTGGTAGTGCAAATCTTTCTCGGGTGTGTGTGTATGTGTCAACGCCACTAGATAACTATTAACACTCCACCACCAGGAAAGACACCCATGTGGCCAAACAAGCAGTAACAAGCACAGCCCCATAGGGGTAATGCCCCTCTATGGAAGGAGAAGTGAAGGGGATGGTAGGGGTCAATTCCAAATAGTTTGGGGGTGGGAGGTGGGTGGGAGGGAAATAAAGCACTCCACTCCCTAAAGACATCAGGTGTTGGTGGACAACCATCCCCCTATATTCTGTTTCACCTTCATTTTAAAGGAGAGAATTTTTTTAACTATATCCTTTTTAAATCATTTTCTAACAATAGAGAATATATTTCTTGTTCCTTCCAGTAATTGCTGCACTACCTCGAGTCTGGTGATTTTTCAGCTCAGGGAGCAACTCGGATTTTGTGGAATGTGGGTATTGTGAAAGGGCAGTGGTCGTTGCCTATTGCTAACTTCCCTTGAACTGAGTGGCTTACTAGGATTATTTCAGAGGAAAGTGAATAGTCAACAACTCTGCTCTTGTAGTTCAGACAGTGCAAAGATAACAGATTTAGAATTGTAATAAATGGGTTTTTTCCTACAATGTGAGCTATCATGGTCGCATGACTAAGACTAATAGTGATGACAAAGAATCATAGAATAGAATCAGAGTCCCTACAGTTGGGTGGTGGGCAGAGACAAAGCAGGAAACCACGGTCCACTTAGCTTAGCATCTGTCATTGGAAAATTTTGGAAGAAATCCTTTCAGACATGGCAGAAAACCTGAGTAAGTTTCAGGTAATCGAGCAGAGTCAACGTGACGTTATGGATATCGGGTTTGACTATTGAAGTTCTTTTGCGGATAAAGGGATACTGGAACTGTACTAAAATTTCCAGAAAACATATTTGATAAAGTGCTACACAAAATGTTCTTGTAGCAAATAAAGGACATGGTATAAGGGATAGCATATTCGCATTCAAGCATGGTGTATTGGACATTGACATATTGGCTGCCTCCTGATTTCTAAGTATTTTTTGTTCAATTTGATCTTGTCACTTCTGCCTTTTGAGGTGAAATTCTGAAATTATTTTTAATGTGCAGCATAAAAGTTACTGCATGGCAACAACTTGGCTAATCATATTCATGCAAGTTAAATGATCTATCTGGCCTAATGTTGTATTCCAGCTCTTAGTCTGTAACTATGTGGGTACAGCAACTTGAGCGTAGACTCAGTGCTGTGTAAATGAGTTTTTTTTTCTCTGTATTTGCTAGGCTCCCATTTTCCTTTGGTGAAATAGTTACACAACTGGCCTCTGGTTATTAACTTCCATACTGAAGGCAATGCATCCTCTTTATACATGGTCTAGGCCCTCAATTTTTCATATTTCCATTTAAATCTCCTCTTGGCTTCTGTTGCTCTAAAATTTAAACCACTTCAGTCTATCAAATCTTTCATCGTAGCAAGATTCTCCACTTCTGGCAAAGTTCTTTCAAATGAAGTGATTTCACTTATCTAAAGAAAGCACTAGGAAATAATTACATAGGAATTGGTTCTTATGCACACAGGCTTCCAATCCAATGAAAACCACCTGTGTTTTTCACTGGTATTATTTGATTGTATCTGCCTGCCTTTTTGAGATACTTGGTATACTGAAAAATGCATCTCAATTTTGTTCAGGGTACTTTTTTTTTCAGAAAACCACCCTTCATGAAATTGCTGTATTGCTATGAATTCTTCCCAGTCTGCAGAGGTCATCCAGAAAGTGTCATCCAAAATTGTTGTATGTTCTATGTGTAAATTCCCATGAGCTCTCAAAAGATCACTGATCTGAAACTGTCCTCACATCTTACCATACACTGAGTGCTTCCACTATTTAGTATTTGTTTCATATTACCAGCATCTGCAATATATTGTTTAAGTGTCACTTCAAATGCAGTTAAGCTTAACTTGGCTGGTAAAATTACTGTAGTTTTGCTCTCTAGCTAATCTCTAATCAGAATCAAGCCTTATCTGTTCGATAATATAAAAACTTTACATGTAATCTTTCATTTCTCAACAAGTTGACCCAAAAAAACCTGAACAATGTATGCTACTGCATAACTTCATCTGCTATCTCTCTTCACTAGGATTTAGTGTCTTGTATTAATTGATTGCATTTCAAATGTTCTTTTTTGAAATAGATTATGAAATTCAGGTTGCCATTTCTGAAGCACTATGCCGAATGACTGATAGAAAGACAAGAGAGACTCTGATTTATAAATGGTTTGATGAGCCTAATGCAAATGCTTTCAAAGAGATCAGAGATTCTGAATTTGAAACTGTGAGTGCATTTAAAAATTCATGGGAAGATTAATTGTTTAAGGATATTTATTGAAAAAACACTATAAAAGTCTGCTGTGAATTGGTGGCTGAAGGCCATTTAAAATGAATGACATAATGTAGTTGGTGAGCTCAGTTGACTGGATAGCTGGTTTGTGATGCAGAGTAAAGCCAACAGCATTGGCTCAATTTCCACTCTGGCTGAGGTTACAATGAAGGTCCTGCTGCCTTGAGCTTGCCCCTTTGCTTGAGGTGTGACCCTCAGGTCAAACTTAACACAGCTGTTGTCCTCCCTGCCATTGTCCTCAGTTGCAATTTGAAATATTTTAATTATGCATATCTGAGCAGGATGTGCAGAGATTCTACCTCAAAATTGAACAGATACAATTAAGCTTTCATACAAGTGAATTTTGAATCTCAGGCTTACTTATTTGGATTTTTTTTGGAATTCTTAGTTAACAATCCCTCTTTCGTACCTACACCGGCCCTAAACCCCACCTCTGCCTCCGTTACATTGATGACTGTATCGGCACCACCTCGTGCTCCCACGAGGAGCTCGAACAGTTCATCCACTTCACCAACACCTTCCACCCCAAGTTCACCTGGACCATCTCTAATACCTCTCCCCTTCCTGGACCTCTCTGTCTCCATATCGGGCAACCACCTAGAAACCGATATTCATTTCAAGCCCACCGACTCCCACAGCTACCTAGAATACTCCTCCCACCCACGTTCCTGCAAAAATGCTATCCCCTGTTCCCAATTCCTTCGCCTCCGCCGCATCTGCTCCCAGGACGAGGCATTCCACTCCCGTACGTCTCAGTTGTCCTCGTTTTTCAAGGACCGTAACTCTTTCCCCTCCGCCCCCCGCCCCCCTCGGTGGTCGAGAGCGCCCTCAAAACCGTGTCTCCCGCAACTCATCCCTCACACCCCGTCCATGCAATAAGAACCAAAAAAGAATCCCCCTCGTCCTCAC